ATAGGAGGTGCTTGCTCCAATTTACTATCTTTCCAGTCTTCTGCCAATTTGTAACAGATTTTGTTTTGGAATGATCGGTGGTGTGGGATGACACTTTTCATCCAAATACGACCTTTATCTACTCAAAATCTGTTTGACTTTGGATGGTTCCACCATATCTACTTGGTAGGCCCACACAATGGTGCTTTTGTGGCTCACAGCTGAAAGTGTCAAATGTGTCCATGTAAATTTATGTCTATGTATATGTAAGTGTGTGTCTACATATGTGTTCATATCTATGGATGTCTGGTATTGTGTTTATTGACGTGTGTTAATGTGCATCCCTGCACCTATGTATATATACTAATTGTAGGTTATTTGAACTTTAGTGATAGAATAATCTGAATTGTAACAGTAGGCAAATATTCGTGGGGGCTCTAGATATTTAAACAATTGGGGACTTAGTGTTCCCCACCCTTGCCCCCACCAATTGTCAGATGACTAGAAGCATCCAGTTCCTCAGGTTTAATGGCGGGAGTATTGTCACTACTGTTCTGGGCCAAACTGGCCTCTTCAAATAAGACTCCCAGAGAGACTCACATCAGAGACTACATCCTTCCACTCATTTATAACTGCCAACTGGTCATCTTCTTTGGCGGAGGAGTAAATCATTTCCCTACAAACTCTGTGTACATTGCTCGTCTTTGCTGGAACATTCCTTTTAGGCCTTATTTGTCTTGCTTTTTAGTGGTGTGAATCATGGCCCACATTGTCATAGAATGGCTAGAGGCAAGATGTTCAGAGGAAGCCACAATCCAGAACAAGCCCAAGGAATAGAGAACCAAGGGTGAAATCCCCAAACTGGCCACAAAATCACTTGATCGCAGAGCCACAATAGCGATCCCAGTTTTCAACAAGATGGTTGCCCCATGTTGCTGTGTGTGTAGTGCATAGCAGGAAAAGCAGCAGGTTATAGGAAAAAACAGACAGGTAAGAAAAGTTATAACATGGAAGCATGCACAAGCAGAGAAAAATACCAAGCACAGCTAACAGTGAGATAAGAAGGGGATAGGCCCTTCTTCCCCCTCCAAAAAATAAAATCAATAAACCAAACAAAATACTGTGACCTGCACTCTAAATTTGCAGCAAAGAAAAAGGATGGTTAGGGGCAGGTTCTGCCTCATATCAACTTTTTTTTTTTTCTCATCGGTTGATTTTTGTAATCTTGCTGCTATTGGGGTTAACAGTAAAGGAAGTTGAGCAAAATATGAAGCCTCCTTTCTTTTTATTTGTGTGACTGTGTTAATAATAAGGTCATGTATTTGTGTAAGTGGATAGTTTGTTTGCTTAATTAAAATAAATGTTCTTTACAATTTACTACTCACCAAATGTTGCATTATACATTAAAAAAAATCATATGTGCTACATAAGATTATGATTGCCTTTTTATCTATTTCGTAATGTTTCCAAGATCTGGCAAATATTATATTTTGAAAGTGATACACAAAGCATATCAAAGTGATACACAAAGCATATCAGAATACAATTTTCCATAGCACAGACAAAATACATTGATCACCACATGCTGTCTGTAAATCATGTCTTAAAATTCTTACTGTAGGTTTCAATCGGTCAGGAAAAGTCTGGAATGCACAAAATGGCCACCTGCGTGTCCATTTTATAAAGTCCTAATTCCATTTAAAATGGGGGCTGAAGAACTCAAAAAAAGATAATTTCACAAGACCTGCACTTTATGCAACACAAAGTCACATAACCAATTTTGTACAACAAAACATATTAACATTTGTGTATTACCTCTATTTTAAAACAAAAGGAAGCTGTCAATGTACTGTTCCTGGCATACCTGACAATATAAAAGACGTTGCTGGGGCGTGTGGATAATTTCAGTATGTCTGGCATTTGTCTGGAACATTATGACCATAGTACTAAAGACACGATACCTTGGCTCATGGCCTTCAATGTATGACAGAGCTTCCAATAAATACAGACATGATTTGTTAGGAATCTGTGGCAGACAGAAAATAAATACGTGTTTCAAGTTTCCTTATTTCATTTTTAAGAGGTAACATCTTGATATTATTTAACTAATTGAGATCTGGCCGGATTGAACAGTTTGTCTCAGAATTAGGTGTACTATAAATGGAATAATATGTGGTATTGGCAGAAAAATGCATATATGATTAAATGGAGACTTGTTAAAATAGAGAAAGATCCAGCATGAGCCATTCCAATTCCCAAATGGAAGACAAGGCAGGTTTTAAGGAAATCCCTGCTATATCATAGGATTTTGAATAAATATTGTGTAGCAAAGATAAGGACAGCTTTCTATTCCAAATGGCATTTGGTATAAGATTTTAGTTATTTTCATCCTCTGAATTTGTATTTCAAATTCAATAAAGAATATTCAGAATGGTAAATTACAGTCTATGGGTCAATTCAGAGGAACAGGAGGAGCAGAGAATAATCAAGATGTCAATGAATAAAATATGTTTAAACAATGCTCTTGTGACCGAGCTCAGTATCCAGCTTTAATGTCTCTGTCAAGGGTCCCTCTCTTTCAGCACACTGGAAACCTGAAATGATTAAAGCTGTTATATCTGTCTCACCCAAACATTAGACTTAGTGAAGGGGGAATAAGAACTGGTTTATTGAGAACAACGCACAGTTATATACCCGACCCCAACTGGGGATCCATGGCTTGAACAATGAAAATCCCACCCAGGTGCCTCCAAGTCTGGGAAATAACTAGATCAGTAACTGCTAAGCTAATCATCCCCCAGACATCTTGGTGCCATTACAATACAGTGGAACCTCGAAACTGGAACGCTCCCTTACTCGAACAATTCAGACGACAAACATAAAATTAGAGTAAACAATTTCTCAGTACCCAAGCAAAACTCAGTATTAGAACAAAATCACATGGTATTAACATAATTGGTATCTCATTGAAACCTTGTTGGCATGACCCATCGACCTCCTAGCACTAATCAAAGCGAACAGAGCTCCATTCTGCCAGCAAACAGCTCCATTCGGTCAGCAAACAGGTTACATTTTAATTTCATTTACATTGTGTTTATTGTTTCCTGTCTGATTTTATGCATGTATGAATCTAATTTACATTAATTCTTATGTAAAATTTTGTTTTGGTTTTGGAACAAATTGGTTCTTAAACAGCCTTCTGGAACGGATTAAGTTTGAGTTTCCGAGGTTCCACTGTATACCCCAAAACATGCCAAATGACACCAAGAACCCTGCACTTGTCTTATATCCCTAGATAGCTCTCCCGTCTGCCTCTGTTAGTCAAAAGAGTGTTCTTGTCACCATCACTGTGTTGCATTGTCATCCGGTTAAAGTCTTATTAACTCCTTAGGGACACATGACGGAAAACTTCATCATCCTGGCCTTTTACTTCTGAAGCAGTGACCTTAAGGGCTCAAATATTTTTTTAACTTTAGTTAAATTTATTTTAGACAAACATTCTATTGGAATTTAGACAAGAAATCAAAGACCATAAATATGACATGGATTAATCATAACTCATTTAAAGGGCTATACTTTTCAGCATTTGTACATTTGTATTTGTATGTGCATATATATGAATATATAGTGCAAGATGTACATTTGATTCGTATGTATGTTACATGTATGTGTATATTATTGATACGCCCATTGAAATAATATGTTTTAGAATCCAATAGTGCATGGATAGTGATGTCATTTGTTTAACTATTCCCAATTATGTGAGTTCCTCGCATGTATAAGGCCTTCCCAATATGAAAGCATTGAATCAATGCTTTACTAATGGGATTTAGAAGATGCTGGATGTCCCCATGCAAAGAGTGAGGACGTCCAGCGACGTTTTACAGAGTCAAACTCCACGAAAGGCCAAAAAGTGATTCTATTGGCTGTCTGGTACACAAAGATTAGAGGTAGTCTTAACCCTGCAATTTAAATATTCCAGATTCCCTAAAACTGTAATGTTTGCAGCTGCAGAGCTAAAATGACAGGGACACTGCACCCAGACCACTTTAATGAGAGGAAATGATCTGGGGGTGTCTATAGCGTCCCTTTCAACAGACTGTGCAATAAAGGGAGTTTAAACATTAGATCTCTCTTTACAGGAAATGTGATGGAAAACTGCATAAATCGCATACAGGTAGGTGTGGCTAGATCTGCATAAACAAAGAGAATTTAACTCCTAAATGACAGATAATTGAGTAGTGACACTGCAGTGTCATTACTATTATTATTTTATTATTTATACAGCATTAACAAATTCCGTAGCCCTGTACAATGGGTGGACTAACAGACACGCAATTGTAACCAGACAAATGGATGCACAGGAACAGAGGGGCCTGCTTAATGAGC